AGAACACCATCCTGTGCTGAAATTCTGGTTATGTGTATCACTATCCATAAGGGTAGTCCCTAGGATGACACAGAATGACTTTTGGGTCTCTATAGCTGGGGCAGGGTTTAAGGATTCTGGAACAATCTCTCATTCTGCTGCCAATGAGGCCAGAGAGTATTCAGCACATGATGGGCACTGAAAAAACATTAGTTACTAAGGAGGCTGCAGGGTTCAGGTAGGAAGAAGAAGGTATTGGAGAGGTGGGCTGATGCTTTTTCCTAAGAGAGAGAGAGAGAGAGAGAGAGAGAGAGAGAGAGAGATTGTTGGCTCTTATTTGAATAAAGTATCATTATTGGACTTGCCATTTGGGGAGAGTACAGTGAGAACATTCTAGACCATGACTGTTTGTTGAAATAGAGACAGAAGACCTGATACCACTCTTTCCCTATCTTCAAACTTGTAAAATCATAGGTTAATATGCTGGCCTTTGAATTGTAAGTCTACCTAGGACATTTTGGTAGTTAAGTGCTAAACAAAATGCCTAAAGTCCTGCAAATGGGATAATTAAGAGATGGCCTGACCGAACAGCTAGATCTCAGCCCAGGAGTCTGATGATGAGTGAGCACCTGCACTGGCAGATGGCCAGGGCAAAGAGTTCCAAGTCTGAGTGTCCTTGATGAGAACATCTCTTTATTTAACATTAAAACCCTAAGGACCAAAATCCCTGGTGCTCCCATTTGTGTCCCTGGTTAGTACAGGCCTAAAGAAGAGAGTCTTTGACCCACGTGAGCCCACCCCAGCCACGAGATCCAAGTGATCTCAACCAGGGATGGCACATACCTGCCCTGTATGGATACTTGTATACCACTTTGCAGGAAGGAAATCAGGATTGGAGGGGACAAATTCTGATATAACTGTCAAGATATGACCAGGCATGAAAATAGTGTGAAAATAAAAGTAACATGTTGAATCGTTGAAGAAAAATTTTATCTTAAATTCTTTTTTGAATAATAGCACATTCTCAAGACATCCCTAGAATTAAGTATTTTTGTCAATTATTTAGTAAGTGCCTAATTTGCTCTTGCTAGGGAAGAAAATTACATGGTTGTTCCTAAATTATTAAACAATATTTTGACGGCATTGACAGAGCGAGTAGCAAGGTATTGACCAGTTGCCTTGCCGTAGGAAAACTCTAGCGCAGCTCTGCTTTATCTTGCGAGGTGAAATTGAAGAGAAAAAAGTCATTAACTCCTGTGAACTACATGCTGCAAATTCTGATGGAAAGTCATACATAAAGTTCATTGTCCTTTATAAGACAAAGTAGGAAAAAAAGCCTACAAACTAATTCCTTGAAGAAATGCCTAAATGGACTTCAAAACTGAAATCTGATTATCATTCAAAGTTTCATTGCTCTGGCTTCTGCAGGAAAATTTGGTTTGGGAGGAAGATCTTACTCAAATTTTTCTTTATGGGATTTCATAATCCAGCCGATCTTTTTTTTGCCTTTGTAAATTTGTCTTTATATCCCTTTCAACACTTAGAACAGTGAATAAATGATCTTTTTCTTAAGATTGACTTCCTTGCTATATCCTGTAAGGAGGATGAATTTGGAAAGAAAAAGAAATTGGAATTAAAAGTAAATCCTGAAAATAACTGTCTTTTGACTCAATAGCTTAGTCCAATAATTTGGTTGGGACTACTTTATGCCTCTCCAAGTTGCTCTCCTCTGGGTCAGGGACTTGCGGTGTTCAAGAAGTAAGAAGACATGATATTATATTTTGGGAGAATTTCTGACCCAAAACTAGAAGAATGAATCCCATCCCTCTTGGTATTGAGGGCCTGTCAGAAGCATTATTTAGACACAGTGTATCCAAATGAAAGAACATTTACTAGGAAAAATATAATCCTTTTATGGACCGCCTACCAAGTGCCTGTCCAGTGCTAGGCACTCATGTCATCGGTTCTCACATCAGCCTGTGTGGTGATCGTTATTTCAGCCCCAGTGGATTGAGGAAGTTGAGCCTTCAAGAGACTAAACAACTTGTTCAAACTTTCACAGGCAGGGAGGGGAATGGTAGATGTTGAGAGCTGGAATTTGAACCCAGTTGTCTTCAACTTCAAACCAATTCATACTCCTTAGAAGTTCCTGTAAAGAGACTCGATCACTTCATCTGAGCTGCTCACACTATAGCTGGAAAGACAAGGAACAGTCACACGGAGAAGGGGGTGGGTGTGTTGTTAAGATGTCCTGAGCATCTGCTACGATCTGGCGCTAAAGTCCTTCCTTTTGAAACCAGACCTCTCTCTGTCACATGTGGCTAATGGGCTGGGAAGTTAAGCTAAGTAAGTTAAGTAATTTTCCCAAGGGTTTCCCAGTTGGATCTTCTGCCTCCCTGAGTGCTCCTTGCTTCAACTTATAGCAACTTATAGCAAAATAATTTTATTGGCAGTGTACATCAGTGTGCTTGGTAGGTGCTGTGCTTTTTTTTTTTTTGATAAGGTTTTTTTATTAACATATAATATATTTAATAAAAAATAATATCCACTCTGGCTCTCTCCTCCATTGCAAAGGGAAGAGTAGTGAGGAGGGGCTGGCACTGCCCACCCCTAGGCATCCGGACAAGCCCTGCCTCCGGGGCTCCCCTCTACCCCCTGCTTTCCAACAGGCTCTGACCTCCAGACAGACGGTTCAAAGTTACAAGTGCTTTAGGCCCTCCCTTGAGCTCCCCCAGGCCAACCCTTTGTGCAGAATTCAGGGGCCGCCTAGACAAACCCCTTGCCTTTTCTCATTCTTAGGATCCTTCGTTCATGCTAGAAAGAGGATCTGGGGGCAGAGAGTAGAGTCTCTACTGGCCAGGGGCAAGGGAGGAAAGAGACAGTGATAGGGGATAGGGCCAAGAAGAGGGATGGTGATGAGGGTTAGGGTTAGGGTTAGGGTTAGGGTTAGGGTTAGGGTGAGTTAGGCTGAGTTAATTAGGAAGGTAGAACTACATGAGCCAAAGCAGAGGTGGGAGTGATCTGGCAGGGGTGGGACATCTGGAATTCCACTCTGATGACAGTGACATGACTACACTTTCCCCAGCTGAGAAAGCATCTCAGAAGGGGGTAAGAGGGCGTGTGTATATGTTGGGAGTGGTCAAGGCAGCTAGGGCTCTGTGGCAGCCCTGTTCACAGCTCTTTGGAGGTCTGCATGACACCCAGCCTCCCGAGTGTAGCCCGTAAGCCAGAGGACACAGAGGAGGTGGGCAGGTGGATGGGCTCTCCTCACAGAGCTGTGGGCTGTCCACTCTTCTGTCTATGCTAACCCCCTAGGGTTATATTTCTGCAGACCTCGCAAACCAATGCTAAGGATGGAACATTCCAGACCAGAAAGTAGCCTGTCTGGTGCCTTACTAAGTTTTACTGCCTTCTTTTGGATTCCATGGGGGGGGGGCGCAAAAGTTGGTCATTCTAACAACCAAATACAAGTGATTTCAATAAGTCAGTGACTTTTTTCAGAAGACACATAAGGTCATTTCTTAAGAGTGGGCAAGGGCCTTCTCCAGAAATCATCTTTTTATCTTGCTAGTCCTAAAACTTCCACATTTTCACTGTATATTTAGGAGAGAATAACCAAGAATTATTTCCTTTTAGAATGTCTGAGAAGACTCTTTTGAATTAGTTGCAGATATATCATGAATATCTTCTTTACCTTTCAACAGGGTTTTAAGGCTGGTTAGGTTCAGGTTATCTGAGTAAACAAAACATACACAGACACTGTTATTTAAACTGTATCAGCAAACATTATGAGTCAACTGAAAATTTTTGCATCAAGTTGTCTTCGAGCAGAAAAAGTCAGAGGGGAAATAATCATTGCTTTGCATAATCATTTTACCATTCACACATTTAGAGACCCACAGGACTTTAAATAACTCTTCCTCAATGCATAAAGAAGTACCACATCTTCAATGCATGTGTGTGTGTGCGTGTGCGTGTGTGTGTGTGTGTGTGTGTGTGAGTGTGTGTGTGAGCGTATGGTAACACCTCTTCAACGTGTCTGGAAAAGGTAATACCAGGAATTCTGAGAACATGATCTAAAAATATTTCCAACTATCTACAATTTAGAAAAGCCCTGTACTTTGCAGAAGCCCCTAGAATTCTGGAACTAGTGGAAGACTCAGCCAAAGGATCTGAGTTTCTGGATTTCTCATCCACATTCTATTTTCTACATTCTGCTGTGGCAAGACTGGATGTGTTCCCAGCGTATGGGGGAAAGGTGATGCTCTGAATAGAAATAAAAGAGAGACTGAGCCCCAACTGAGCCCCAATATTTAAGATCCTTGCATGAAAGTGGAAATATTTTGGTGTAATCAATTACAACACCAACTTCTTCCATCTTCATTTTACTTTGAGAAAGATGTTAGAGATTGTGGTGTTAGTTCCAGTTGAACTTCTTTTATATCTAGAGGGGGCTGGATATTGACAGTTCTCTTTTCATTTATTCAGAAATTTTATTTTTATTTTATAATATTTTATGATAGTCCTAGCATATCCACAACATGCAAAAGAATAAAAGTGATTATTATGTATTGCTAGGGCTCATTGGCATTTAATGTGACTTTGGTACTTTCCTCTTCCCATTTACAAGCAAGGGTGAGGAAACCTTCCGATATAACTATTTAGTCATTTGGTGTATTTATTTAGTTTCACAAAAATCCACCCTTTTAAAAGAGTGAAGATTCAAGCTCATATGACTGTACCCTGGGGCCACTAATGCAAGTGCCTAAGGGGTTCAGGTTGATACAGCAAATTGAAGTATTAGAATTAGATGGCTTAGGTTGGCTTTTGTGCCATCCATCCTTTGGGTGTTGGCATCTGTTTTCTTCTCCAAGATTCTTTTTTCCCCCTGAATGTTCCCCTGGAATATCCTCAATGCCAGCTGCAGTCCAGAGGGCGAGCTGTTAAGCTGGGATAGCAAGGAATTCTCTGGGCACCAGTGTCTACACAGCAAATTTGAAGCTTTTCTTTTTTAAATGCAGGTTTCAAGACAATCTCCTGCCATCTCAATTTACTCCTGAGTAAGAGGATTCTAATGAAGTCACCATGGGTAAGGAGGCTCAGCGCCACAGTCTTCTCCTGGGGGGACTGTCTCTGTTGCCTGGTAGTTAGCCGCGTGACTTCCGTCTTTGTCTTTGGTTTCTGCAGGGAAAGGCGCTCTGGGAAGGAGGTGGGCTTCACCTTGGCGATTTCTCTCCCAGCAAAATGAATACAAACATCTAATGTCATGACCCCCCTCTGGTTCCACACATGCAGCATGTTTGACACTGTTAGCGGTCGTGGTGCGGGCCCGGAGTACTTCAGCAAGTAGATTTAAATGTCCTTTTGTGCCCAGAATGAGGCCTCTGGTGGAGACGCTGCGGAAACCAGCGCTTCCGGGTGTGTCTGCGGGCGCGCGAGCTGTCAGTGCTGCCGGAAGTGGGTTTGTCTTCCTTTAATTCCCCTCTCCCATTCCAAAATCTAACAAGGCATTTGTGCTGTCTTGCCAAAAAGGCTGGAAAGCTCGGTGTTTGAGAACAACGCCTTTTCCCTGTGTTGGTTTTTGTAACGATGAACTTGCAGAGGAGACTCAAGTTGGAGGAGGAGGAGGAGGAGAGAGGGGTGTGTCTTTTAGGGCAGATGGCAGCCATGTGGCAGGCAGAGGGGAGAGAGACGCCTGATCCTTGGCACCAGAGCTCCATTGTGCCTGAGCGGAACAGGAAGACCACTTGCCTTCAAGGGACGGCGCAGTCTTGGACTACGAGGCTACCAGTGGTGGCAGTAAGGACAGAAGAGCAGAAGGGTGTCCCTAACCAGGGGTCCTCAAACTTTTTAAACAGGCGGCCAGTTCACTGTCCCTCAGATTGTTGGAGGGCTGGACTATAGTTTTAAAAAAACTATGAACAAATTCCTATGCACACTGCACATATCTTATTTTGAAGTAAAAAAACAAACGGGCCAAAACAACCCCCCCCCATGTGGCCCTCGGGCCGTAGTTTGAGGACGCCTCCCTAAACATTTGCTCTGTCACAGCCTCTGGGGACTTTTCATGGCTGTGGGGATGGTGAAACATTCCTAATGGCTGACGCCTCAGAATCAGGTTTAATTTGATTTAGAGGAGATAAAGAGAGTGACTTTCACATGTATTAAAGTCAGTGGAAGAGAATTCATTCATGCTACAGCACAAGTCACAAAACGCCCTGAAGACCCAGGACACTAGCACAGCTGGAGAGCTGGCACTTGCCTCTCGCAAATGTTTTTAGTTGACGAAGCCTAACAGACAGGAGTGTGAGGAGTGTTACTTTATGACAAAGAAATTACATTGTCATTAATATTGCAGGTCACTGCTTTGAGGGGGAGAAAAATCTTTGTTTTATTTTAAGATTTTTAGTAGGGCTTATTCTGAGGCTTAGAAAACTCAGGAGAGTGGGGCCTTCCAGACAAATGCATTTGCCTGGACGAAACACATTTGCAATAGCTCTCCCACAATGGCCTGGAGACGACTCCCAATTCACACTGGACTTTAAAAAAAAATATATTTTTTTATCCTGTTTTGAAAATGGACCAGGTTTGGGGCACTAATTCACACAGCTACCACACCCACTCTTTCTGCCCAGAGAGTGAGGAGAAAGAATGGGTCAATCAGCTGACATATTTCCATCCAATTTCAAGGATAGAATGTGTTCATTTTCTGACTAATGGCATGTCATTTTGCAGAAGCCTTTGGTCGCGAATTAATCCTGGAATCAAAACAGATTTTCCGGGGAGCAATCTTCCATCAAGTATTGATTTTTTTACACTCATGGAGTCTGTACTCCCTAATTTAACCTGACAATGATTCTGCACAATGGCCTCGGAGCACCTTGGCAGCTCGCTGAAGGAACTTTTACTGTCTTTTCTTTCTGAGAAGTAGAGAGGGAAAAAAAACACCCCAGCTAGCCCAGTCAGTCACTGGGGGGCATTTATGACTTGATACTTTACTTCTGGTGATTTGGAATGGGCAGAAAGCTGCCTTCTAACTTTTAAAGCAGTGCTGGGGAAAAGCTTTGGCTTGCTGAGACTCTGTTTAAAGGAACATTTTTAAACATCTGCCAATATTAAACAAATCTGTAATATATCGTTCAGTCACAGCCAATGTTTTCAAAGGATGCCATCTTGCTATGCCCACCGAACATGAGAAAATGGGGAAGCATTTTCCAAAGAGATGTTTTTGCTTCTGAATTTTAACAAACTTTGTTGCTTTTATTTTTCCTGTTTTCTCAAAGGCACTTTTGAATTCCTACCTTCCTTGGTCCCTATTTGATTCTTGTGAACTCAGCAAACATTCTTGAGCTGTGCTAGGTTTTAAAAGGGAGCTAAAGAACTGACTATGACATAGTCCCCGACTTCAAGGAGCTTAGGGTTAGGAAAGTGTGGATAAAACAAGCACATCCCATCTATGGCATAGATTATAAACTGTGCAAGACATGGACATGGGCCAATGGGGTAGTCAGAATACGCAGCAAACATGAGACCACACCTATTTGGGGAAGATTGGAGAGAGTCATAGAGAAAAAGACATATGAATTGGGCCTAACAAATGGTGCATCAAAGACCATCAGTAAATGCTTACTGAATGTCTATGTGCTCCCCTACATTTTCCAGCTTCCCTTGCAAGTGGGTTGGGACCATGTGACCAGCTCTGGCCAATGGGCTATCAATGGAAGAGACAGGAGTCACTTTTAGGAGGAGGCAGTTGCCCCTCTCCCATCAGCTCTCTTCTACTGCCATAGTGTCTGAATAGAGGGCAACCTTCTCTCCAAAGTCCAAACTGGACTTTGTGAACAAAACGTAAACTTTTATGCTCCAAGAAATCTGGGTTTATTTGACATCACAGCATAGGTTAGCTGAACTAACACAGATGGTAGGATTACTTAATCAGGAGTGATGCCAAAATCCAGAGTAATGTAATTAAGAAGGCTCACTTACAGACAAAAATTTTGATGGACTCAGGATCGCTGAGATCATAAAAAGTAAGTGCTTAAGTCTCTCATAGAAACTCATGGCAGGTTTTAAGTGGAGTTGAATTATCTTATACTTACTGAGATATTGTTTGGGAAGAGGGCATGTGCATTTATTACAGATGGAAAACAGAATCAATAAACTGGCTGAATAATGCATTAAGCAGTCTTAGTGAGTCCCTGAGTCATGGACACCCTAATTGATTAGTGTGGTTTGGAGGTCACATCCTCTGGGTTCAGTATCTTCAAACTAAATAAGAATAAAATTATCATTAACGTATCAATTTAACAGGCACCTGGAGAGGCAGCAGAAGTAGAAGTATAATTCTGGCCCTTGAGGAACTTATGGTTGGGGAAGGAAGATTCCAGGCACTGTATGGAATGAAGAAAGAAGGCAAACAAGGAATGATGACGTGAGCAGTGGCAGGTCAGAGAAGGCTTCTGAAACCTGATAGCTGGGTCCCTGAGAAAGTGAGGGTTATAGATTGGGGAAGAGGAGGTGGACAGGTTGTCCCGTTGGAGTGAGTAAAGAACTAAATTGTCTGAGTTGCTGGTGAGTAGAACTCATGAAGAGTTTGTGTGAAAGCAATCCCAAATGTCCTACTCAAAGGGGAAGGAGTGGATCTCAGTAAGAGAAGAATGGCAAAGTCTCTCTCCCAACGTTTGTCCACCCTTAGTTGTTTCTTGTTGACTTGGAGAGCTTATGAAACATGAGATATGGTTGGCCATGACCATGCCACAGTCTGAAAAGAGGCCAACCTGCCTATTAGATTTGAGCCTTTTTTCTTTCTCTCCTGTTGGGTATGCATCAGGTTGCTATGGCCTTGATTGTTACAAAATCACTCCATTACGAAATTACTCCAAAATTACTCCAACTATATGTGTTAACCAAACCCAAAAGATGGTTTTACCATCACACTGCACTGCTTCCTGGTGCTGTAACCCATATGAGCATTAGTTTCTTCATATGTAAAGTGAGAATGAAATTAAATGCCATAATTTTTGTATGCAATTATTAATAGTATAGTATTGGCCTTTGATAGATTCTTAATCATTGATGGCATTATTATTACCAACTATTATTTTTATCATTAAATCAGAATGCATTGTGATAATAGAAAAAGCTCTTTTGGCTGATGATAAAAAATGAAAATTGACTTTGTTTTAAACAATTTCAGGTCATGTTTATTTGCTTGGTTGGAAATCCAAAGTTCCAAACTGTTGAGGACAAAGTCATTGCTAACATTTATGGCTTTTAACAATTCACTTTCTTTGCTTTTTGCTTTCTTTTATCAACAAAGTAAAGAGGCTGTTTCTGTATGTTTCACAAATCAGCAATGAATATACCAATTTGTGGTTTTTTTGTTTGTTTGTTTGTTTTTGAGACAGAGTCTCACTTTGTTGCCTAGGCTAGAGTGAGTGCCATGGCATCAGCCTAGCTCACAGCAACCTCAAACTCCTGGGCTCAAGCAATCCTGCTGCCTCAGCCTCTCGAGTAGCTAGGACTACAGGCATGTGCCACTATTCTCGGATAATTTTTTTTCCTATATATATTAGTTGGCCAATTAATTTCTTTCTATTTATAGTAGAGATGGGGTCTCTCTCTTGCTCAGGCTGGTTTCGAACTCCTGACCTCTAGCAATCTGCCCACCTTGACCTCGCAGAGTGCTAGGATTATAGGCGACCAATTTGTGTTTAATAATTCATTGGAAATTACAAATTTTCAAAAATTGGCAAAATGCATCAATTATTTTGGAAATTCTTGGAAATCTCCATCTTCCTGTCTTAGTGCCTTCAGAGTGGAAGACCGTCCACCTCTTTCATCTCTAGAGGAAAGCTGCAATTACTATGCCTGTTTCTCTTGTTTTTTAAAATTCCTGTTTAGTAGCAAAATGTTCAATTAAAAAAAAGGATCAAATGTCATTTGAACAAATGAACAGTATAGAATGAGTTTTGAGGAGGTTAAACTATAAGCTGTGTACAACTGCTCATATAAAATCCCTTGTGTTTGAAACACTGATTGAAACAGCACATTTCTACAGCTTTACACAGATGTTGTTTTAGGAGAAATTCTTTTTTCTTTCCTACGAATTAAAGAAAACTTCTGTTCAGTTGAAGTTGAAAGAGTGCCACCTTTTTTCTTCTTTTTTTTCCCCCATCAAAGTGCATCTGTACATTAGTGAAGCGCTTTAACAACCTTCACCGCGCACGATTACAAAGTGCTCTATTATACACAAGTGCCATGGAGGTAAATAGCAGTTTTATAACTGTAAATTTCAAACTTTCTCCCTTTTAAAAACATATCAGTGATTCTACTGCGCATAAAGATATTTAGATTTGAGTGAAACCACTTTCTGATTCTCAAAAGGTAGTAACGTTTTATTATATTTGTGGTTTGAACTGCTTTTGGAACCAGTCTTCAAAACAGCCAGGGCAGTTAATTCTTCCTCCCAGCCTGCAGGGTGGGAGAAGTTTCAGAGAGATAAACACTGGTTATTATTGTTTTATTTCTTTCCCCCAACTCCCAGGTTTGAGTGATTGTCAGAGAACACACCTGACATGTCATCTTCATTGCCCATGCAGGCCTACACTTTGGGAAATTCTAGAAGCTTCTGAAAGCTCAAAATTTGTGGAAGTTTTGCTCTGGGTTTCAAGTAGAATGGAGACCTTACACTGATGAGTCTGGACTGGAGGCCCATGTTCTCGGGCGACAAGCATTTTAGAAATGAAGAGTGTACAATAAGTGCTATACAGGCCTTTAGCAGCGAGATTCAGGGCATGGATTCTTAATCAAACAGGCATGAGTTTAATTTCTCCCTTTGACATTTTCTTAGTTAAGCTTTCTAAGCTCCTCCACATCTTTATAATGGAGGTAATAAGACCTCTTTAATGGGGTTGTGAAAATTAAAAACATACAACTGCATGCGTATTCACACACACACACACACACACACGATTTTTGAGTGAGGTGCTTAGATTTGATTTGCATAGTTTAGAGAAGGGAAAAAAGGAAGAACGAAAGCTTTGTATTTTATTCTGATTTGCCTATTTATTTTTATGGTTTGAAAAGAACTTTAAAATGCACAGTGTTTTTGTTTTTATAGACTCATGTTCTATTTTGTTCACTCTTCCCTAAAAGATTCACCTATGCATACTAAGTGGTAGGCAATGGTCATTTGAAATAATGAGATTTAAAATCTTACATAGGCTGGGAGTGGTAGCTCACGCCTGTAATCCTAGCACTCTGGGAGGCCGAGGCAGGAGGATCGCTTGAGCTCAGGCGCTTAAGATTAGCCTGAGCAAGAGCGAGATCCCATCTTTACTAAAAAAAATAAATAGGAAAATTAGCCGGGCATTGCGGTGCACACCTGTAGTCCCAGCTACTTGGGAGGCTGAGGCAGGAGAATTGTTTGAGCCCAGGAGTTTGAGGTTGCAGTGAGCTATGATGACACCACTGCACTCTAGTCGGGGCAACAGAGCAAGACTCTGTCTCCAAACAAAAACAAAAACAAAAACAAAAAAATCTTATATAAAATATGAAGCCACAAAATAGTAAGTAACATTAAAGAAAAATTTCAGAGGTCCATATTGGAACAAGAAGAGATGTGAACCCAGAACATAAACTTAAATAAAACAAAACAGAAAATAGAAGACGAAAATCAGGTTTTCAGCCTATCAATATGTACAAAGCCCTTATCTGTATGTACAAAGTCTATCAATATGTACAAATTACACAATAAAACATTTGCCATTGGCATGCCCCTAAGAAGTTTGCATCTTAATTTGGGAATTTTGGATCTTGTCTTATCAGATAAAATTTTCCTAACAAAATTTGCTTGACTTGAGCAAAACATTTGATGTGCGATGGGAAGATAAGAATCTCAAGCGTTAGAAAGAAATCATCTTTGTGGATTTAATTGCCATTTGACAGGAAAAGGCCATTGGGCTGGAAAGATAATCACTGTTCAGGCAAAAAGCATTATATAGTTTGAAATTAAAGAAAAAAAATTCTATTAGGTTAAAACAGCTGGAAAATGAAATCTAATAAAAATATTTAATTTGAATGATTTACCTGATATTTCATTTTATTTTTATCTTTTTGGTCAGTGAACTCTTTCACTGCAAGTGTGACATATATGGCTAAATATCACATGTCTAGGCCAGGTAAAAATGGATATTTATTGATAAATGTCAATCTTGAGAGAAGAAATAACGGACCTACTGCTTTTAAGTTTATTGCCTTTCCATACCAATCCAAGTTTTTCTGACGTGACTTGAGAAGAACTCTAGTTAATCTTACCTACAGGCCTCGGAAAGCTACTCTCTGGGTGGACACTTTGATCCAACAGTCCACTTGTAAAGGGATTCAGACAAGATTACACCAGGTGACACTCCCTGTCCCTTCCTGAGTTGGATCTCAGCTCAGATGAGCTGTTAGTCCCTCTCCTTAACCGAAGCTGCCACTGTAGCTTGGCTGCTGTTTCTTCCATTTTCTTTGCTGCTTCTCTTAGTTCACTAGCTCTTCAAAGCTCAGCCCACAGTTCATTGGCAAACCATTCCCCCCGAACTCTTAATCCTCATGCTGGAGGACTGTAGCTGGTAAAGCTTTTCCTGGTGGGCCATGCGATTAAAAAACACTGTGAAGTACTGAAGTAGACATAGTCTAGATTTGCATGAGATTTTCCTCCTTCCCTAGAGTCTAAGTCCCTGTGACAAAGACAGTTTGCATCTTTTGTATCCATATTCATGGATCTAAGTGAAGTCCTTGGATCCATATTATTTTAGCTATTGACTTAGCCCATTTGTGCTGCTATAACAAAATATATGAGACTAGGTAATTTATAAAGAACAGAATGTATTTCTCACGGTTTTGGAGACTGGGAAGTCCAAGATCAAGGTGCCGGCAGATTCGGTATCAGGTGGGGGTTACTCTCTGCTTCCAGGATGATGCCTTGGAAGGCAGAGGGGCCCAAAGGGGAAAATTCTCCATTGAACCTTTCATAAGGCCATGAGTTCTTCCGTTCACGAGAACTCTGCCCTCATGACTAATCACCTCTTAAAGGCCTCAATTCAGTACTATCACACTGGTGATTAAGTTTCAACGTGGATTTTGGGGACATCCAGGCCATAGTAGCTATGAGTCCATCCTTCTCAAATCCCTTTTCTCTGGAAGACATCAAGTCATCGTCATTAGGGGATCCAGTGAGTCATCTACTTATCTATTCATTCACTTAGTCATCTTGCTCTTACCAGGTGCCAGGCAATTGGATTTGTCATTGGAAATACAAAGATTACTATCACATGGTCCCTCTTCTCCAGAAGGAGCTATTTTTTTTTTTTTTTTTTTTTTGAGACAGAGTCTCGCTTTGTTGCCCAGGCTAGAGTGAGTGCCATGGCATCAGCCTAGCTCACAGCAACCTCAAACTC